TACAGTTCCCCAGGGCTGAGATACAGACTCATACAGCTGCCTTTCTCTCCACCACTGTTACCTCCGCCTTTGTTAATTGATGCAGAATTTAGATGTACTGGTCCCTGGGTATTTACATTTGAATACTGCAGGGATTCTGAAAGACCTGAAAGCTTTCCCAGAACTAAAGAAAATGGAGCATTTCTACCCTGTTTGCCTTTTTATAAAATTAGACCTGTGTTTCAATAATTTATAAAGACCTTATATGGCAGAATCTTTGGACCTCACAATTCTCCTCTTTGCCTCTCACCTTGTATACCCTAAAGAAATCAGACAGTTCAATAACTATCCTTAAACATCTTTAAATATTACCTAAGTTCAGTATTAGCTTAACGCAGCTGTTAGTATAAAAATGTATTTTGAAAACTAAGATTCTATATAACCAAGAGATGGGGGGCATGGAGGAAGAGGATGTAAAAAGAATTAAGAATGTAATCATTCTGTGCTGCAAACATGTACTAAAATAAAACAAAACAAAACTCTACCTTTGCAAGTTGTCTGGTGCCTATTAAAATTGGTAAAGATTCATGTTTTCAGTTGTACCCTGGCTTCCACATTAAGCACAGGCTTTTAATTGGGGCCAATGCATGGGTCTGGGGAAGTCTCAGAAAGATGAAGTTCATTACCATAATGAAACAAATCCCCAGGAATTCAGGTGTGCAGAAAGTGCATAAGCTCATCAAAACAAATTAATTTAATAAACAATTAGTATTTGTTGAGCTTACATGGATAAATGTATTTAAGCTCTTAGCATAAGTTTCGATCTTTCTTTTCATATGTATTTTACAGTTTATCTGTACTCATTCAGTGAAAGTTCCAAAGATCGGGTCATAGTCTATCCGCTTTAGAGCATATGAACTGAACTGAAGTCATACAATGTTTTTAAAGCAGATTTCTAAATTTCAGGTATTAGATAATCTTACCTCCCTTTATAGATCACATCTTTATTGCATCACAGAAACTAAATCTTAATTTTCTGTGTCAGTGGAACAGTTTTCAAAGGCTATAACAAAAAGATTCCTGAAGTGCGGTGCATAAAAAAGGAAAAATAGAAGCATCGAAGGAGAACATAGTAAATGTTGGCCACATTCCAGGTTTCTATAGAGAAAGAAAACAATTATGCTTCACTTTTAGCCATCTACCTAGTCGTTCAGGATTACTACTTGTTGCTTACATTTTGGTTTCATTTCAGAGAGACAGACAGACATAGGGAATCACTTAAATTCAACTATTGCTGTGAATTACATTTTGTAGTAGTAGGAATCCCCTCAGTGGTGGGTACATTTGCTTCTTGGTGCCCCATATAGCAGTGATACTATGAAGAGAAACAGGTCACATAGATTAGGACCAGAATAATCTGTAAAAGGTGGTGTGAAGATAACCAAAGGGATATGTGGCACATCAGTTTTTGAAAACTCCTAACACATTTGCATCCATGTGCTCAGTAAAATCACATAGCTATAGTTGAGGAGTAATCTGGTAGGATTTAGAGGTTTTTAGATATTCATTTTTCTGCTGGAAACGGGTAGGTACACTTTAATACTTATTAACTGCAAAGCTGATTGTATTATTTGTAAAAAGGCTGATAGGCTCCTCTGTGGATCCACTAAAATGAAGTAGATTTGAAATTTGGATGTGTTACGCTGCGTGTGCTTGTGTAAATTCAAAGAATACATTAAAACTTGCTTCGGGAAGCACATTTCACTAGCTACAATATGCTCAGAGATTCGTGGCAAGTGAATTTTATTTCTCACTCTTTTGATCATTTAGCTTCCCTTTAGCCCTCTGTGCCTCTTCCAAACTTTGCACACTCACAGGACTATTCAGCGTCACATGGCTTGTGGGAGCCCTTCTGCTCTGGACTCTTAAGTTCTACCTTCCTCTGAGCAGGTGTACCCAGAACACCTTCTAGCCCATTTAGATTTAAGGATATTTTTTCACGTTGTATCAAAACAAAACTTCACATCACTTTCAAAACATATTCTCTATGCCTCTCTCGCCATTTCATTACTGTGCTTTGTATGATGTCTTCCTGTCATGTCTCCAAGTGTCAAAGATTCCCCAACATTTAAAAGGATGAAGCTCTCAAAATACTTGAAGCAGAAAAAATACATAGCTTGGGATTCAGGAACTTCGGCCATGTGGGTGCTTATTCGCAAGTGCATTCCAAAACAGGATGCTCCAGCCAATCTTTCCCATAACTCACACTTATAAACATCTAGTTTGGTTTATAAATAGCAAAGGGCAAGGGTCAATGCAATGGTGACAGCCGCACCTGGCCTACAGCCTGCTTTCAAAGCCACAACCAAGTGTTTTTCTTACATTTTTAGATTGTTAGGAAACATTCAAAAGGAGAGTAATAATTTGGGAGACATGGAAACTGTTTAACAATCAAATTTGAGTGTCAGGAAATGAAGTTTTACTGGAAGACAATCAGACCATTAGCATATGTTTTGCCAAAGGCTGCTTTTTCACACCACCTTGGCAAAATGGAGTGGCTACCATAGAGAACTCTGTGGCCCCCAAAAGCCAGAAATATTACTGCCTTGCTCTTTATAAAACACACTTGTCAAGCCTGATATAGATGTACAGTCTAACTTTTGGGTTAACGGGAGAATAGGGGTTCTTTCCGGTCACTCCCACAGCACCCCACATCTCGGATGCTCAATAGCAAATCCAAAACATGACTCCCCAGCAAAACCGTGAAAAAGCCAGTGCTGCCTGTAAAAAAATAATGGGGATCATAAAAACAAAAGCATGGCCGTAGTCATTATTCTGATGATAGACATAAAAAGAGATGGTGGCACTGGCTACGCAGCGTCCACTCCCTCCTCCGTTCTCAGGGTGCTCTGATCTCCACTGTTCCTTCGGTCCGTGTTCCGCCTGAATATGAACGAGGGATCTGGAGGGACATAATAACATTTCCACGTGGCCACGAAGAAGTGCCAATATTCAAAACAGAGTTCTCCGATAAAAGAAAAAGGGTTCCTTCGATGGCTGAAGCAGGGTTTGTCGTAACGTTTCTATTCAGGTAAAAATAATAATAAAAAAATTAAAGAGAAAAAAGGAAAGGGAAGATAAAAGAACAATGCAAAGAATATTTTTGAGCTGGCCACCTTCCTTTCCAGTTAAAGTTACACAGGTAGTTGAATGTACATGTAATGACTTGGATATCTATGTGACAAGGCACCATGTGGCTATAAAGACTTCAGAAAAGACAACATTTTATTCATTCAGAACTCCTTTGTGTGTGTGCGATGCTTGTATATGATAATGTGCCATTAAAACCGTGGCTTCTCTTCCAAGTGCTCTTCTCTATATAAATCCATTTTGTGCATATAATAGGAAGTAATACCATCTCTAAACCAGACACTTCTCTGAAAAAGCTTTAGCTCATCAGAATTTCACAGAAGTGACATTTCTATCCTTACTGCAAGAGTCCTATGAAAAACAGTGACCTTTAATCCTTTGTGTTTTCCTAGTCTTCATCACAGCAAAGTTAATGTCCAAAAGATTATCACTTTTTTTTCATTACAGAAACTGTATTATCTGAAAAAAAATCTTATCAGACTCAATTATTCTGGTAATTGGTGTTGAGTAAACAAACACCTGTCAGAGTGTTATGATAAGTGCTGTAGCACATTCAGAAAATTATTTAAATATGATCCTTAGCTTTCAGGTTTTTATCGTCAAATTGGCAAGACAAAGTTCACTTACTCATATATACCAGATATAAAAGTTCAAACCAAGATTAACAAAATTTCAGAGGAGACATAAATCATTTTGAGGAAAGAAGACATGAGATTGGAACCACACACTGTAGTAGTGTATACTCCTGAAAGTCAGGGCAGAGGAAGGAAGTGGACATGAACAATGAACGGGATAATTAAACAAAAGCAAGAACCAAAGTATTCCCGAAGTCAGGACTGATGGCTCAAGGATTAAAAGTGGTCTCTGGATGCATATGTATGTGCTTTTTTATAAATACATATGATGAGCTGGCGCTGCGCCTGCCTCACGAGTGCAAGGTCCTGAGTTTGATCTCGGGTACCGAAAATAAATACATGCATGCACATATACCTAGGAGATTTCCAGAGATCTGTATCTCAGTGGTGAGGACTGACCAAAGAAGGCATTAAAAACAACCAGAATAAATACGATTGAGAAATAGAAGCAACACGAATTAGATGGAGGACTTGGAGAAAGAATTTGGAAACTTTTGCCTGATCCAGGCCAAAAAGCGATGGCATATAAATTACTTAAAAGTAAAATGACTGGAGAGGAAGGCTGAAGCCAATGAACACATCACAAAGGAAGAAACGATACTAAGGGAGGGATCTAATCCGAATGCCAGAATGTGAGAATGGAAAGATACCATCGTAAACGCTAGGATACTTGTTAGAGTTACACAGGGAACTCATTTGGAGGCAGGGAGATGGTATCAGTTCTTGGCACTGCTGCGCTTGAGGAAATGAAGGTACATGCAATTGAAGCAACCCTAAAGCAGTTAGAGATCTATAACTAGCTCTCATTTACTGACAGGATTGGAGATGCAGATTTAGATACTTGGAATTAACGACTCCATTTCATATATGGGCCCACTGAGGCAGAAAAGAAGAGCAAGGAATCAAAGAGTAAAACCTTGGCAATCCTGGTGTTTACTGAAGGGAGGAGGAGGCAGATATTTTGAAAGATAGGAAAGAGAGATCATCACATAAACGAATGGAATAAAGGGGGTAGTCAAGAGACACACTGCAGAGAGAACAGAGACAAGACTTGGAGGATATGAAGGCCATTGGCTGCATTTCGAAGTACAATTTCATTTGAAGGTTGGGATACAATATGCCTTAGTATAACTTTCTACCCTTATGGAAATAATATCTACTGAAGTTTATTTAAAAGTTTCATATGGTGATTTTTATGACAATGTTTATGGTGATTTTTTGTTTCACTCTCTCTAGGAATTTATCTTATTTTGCTACACAAAGTAGCCCATCTGCTGTCATTTTGAACCTGTGGGAAGCTCGTCATCAGCACGATGGTGACCTTGACTCCCTGGCCTGTGCCCTTGAAGAAATTGGGAGGACACACACGAAACTCTCCAACATTACAGAATCCCAGCTTGATGAAGCCGACTTCAACTACAGCAGGCAAAATGGACTCTAGTCGACTTCGCTCATGAGGCAGAAGGATGGCCAGCTTTGGGACATTGCTTTAAATGGGAAAGAAAGAGGCAGCTTTCTACCCAACAGCATTTGGGAAATTCAGCCTTTATGATCAGTGAGATACCCTGGTTGAAGAAACTGAAATCTGTAGAGGTGAAAGATGTTAGTAGGGAACAGTACAAGCTCGTGCAGACACAGGAGAGTTGCACTGTCTCCTCTGAAGCCACACACTGGTTAACATTAGCTGCCATCCTCAGGTTTGGAGTGGCAAGGATAGGAGTGAGGGCGTATCTACCCTGAAGTAGCTGTGGGAAGAGATGAGCTGTGAGAAGCCGGGAAGGCAGGAATTGATGAAGTGCATGTTCTGAAACAGGTTTTGAATGATGTGCTTGCTCCCTAGGACCAGCTGATACCGGTACCAGGCTGTCAAGAGTTTTCTACCAACTGGCATCTCTGAATTTGGGAATCATTGTAAAACTGGTTTTTAGAAGTGAGACGGGGTTGCCATCCCGTGTGTATCACTTCACCAGTGTCAAGGAGGGCGTATAGAATTTAGAATCTGAATCTATCGCACCAGCACCAATTTCCTGTCTATCCTAGCCACTTGGAGACAAAACTGAAAAATAAGATAGACCACAAACTAATTCTTGTAGTAGACCTCACCTTCTTTTTTTCCCAGAGACAAACGCACTCATGTCTTTTCATCTTTCTTTACCCATCGGAGTAGAAAGAGTCAAGGGAACATAGTGAGACCTTTTGATATGAAAATAGATTTCATCTGACTTGACACGAGAATCCCTGTTCCCAGACTAACACTCAAACTGCAGAATGCCATTAGAAGACAGCTTCTCACATGGATATGGAGATAGCAAAGGCCTAGCCGGGTCTAAGGATACATATGAACGACAGTGCCACAGTTCTTAAATAAGGGGTCACTCTGGGAAACAAGTCGATCCAGTTTAACAGCAGTTTTGTGATCAGGGAGTGAGGAGTTGTCCTCCGCTTCCCAGCTCAAGTTCTAGAAATGTTCCCACCTTTTGGTTCTAAGTCATCACAAAATCTCTCAGTAGAGCTGTAGGTCATCTTCCTCTTGCCTCGTGGGGAATTAGCAGAGAGTCTTTGCTCTGAGCGACACCTGAGGAAAGAGACTGAAGGGATCCCTCCACCCGGGTGTCCCGGGAACCACATGCATCCTGCCAGGAGCTTTCCAGCCCTGGCTGCTCTTCTTCACCGCATAGTTTTTCTCTGTAGAACTATTTCACTCTATAATTCTTTTTTAAAAGAGGAGGCAGTGATATTATAGAGAATTAAAATTCACAGACAATTCTCGACACTCAGCACTTGACTTCACTGTTTTGCCCTAGTCAGTTATTTTTGACAAGGTGTCCTGGTAGGCTGAAGACAAACACGCTACTGCTCATCAGCGGCTGGATGTTTCCAGGGGCAGACCACAATCAGGACAACCAAAGTCAAGAATCGAGATTAGAAGGCAGCTGATCAGCTACTCAGAGGCTGGCTACATTCGAATAGAATAAAAGTAGTCAGGGAATGAGGGAAATAAAGAGCACTTGACAACAGGCATAGAATCAATTTTTTAAAATTTTGTAGATCCCTTGCTTTAAAAAAAGAAAAAGGCATATTGTGAATCTCCTCCCAAGTGGAAAAAGACCTGAAGACAAGCTGAATTTATGCTCCCATGGATAAGCATTGAAAATGTCTTCAATGCCTTGGCCATTTCCTCTAACTAATGTGTGGTATATGTGGTCCCCTGGGTTAGATAAAAGGCTTTGCTAGATGTAACTCAAAAGCATCTTGCTTTTCTCAGGAACCAAAGGCTTATTACATAGAATAAACAAATCATCTTAGAACCATCGAGCACATTTGCAAGGCATCATCCCTAGGTCAGGAGAATACCCTTTTGCTAATGTGCTCCACTTGTTCCTTTCTTCCAGGGAACAACTCAGAGGCAGTATGAGAAGATCAGTCACTTGACATTACCAGTGTGACTTTTGAGGGAAAGAGGCGGAAATGGATGGCCGGTCACGATACACTGGAGAGTTGACGGGCCTGACTAGGGCAGATGAAGCCTGCATTAATCTGTGGAGGAATAATCAGTTTAAAGCACAGGACACAACTTATGTTAACATACACCTTGGAGGATTCTGTTTCAAGTCATCTTACAAATTTTGTTCTCTTTCCTTCTAGTTGGCCTTATAACCATTTCATGTATTCTGTGACTCCACACAGGCTCTTTGAAGAATTTTTGTCTTTTTTGCTTTAAGGAGATAAAAAAAAAAAATTTAAGTGATTTCCCTTGGAACCTATCTGTATTAGTTTAAAATGAGATAAGATGATTGTTAATCCCTGAATGTATGGAATTTCCCCCACTTCGGGGGTTCGTCTTTTGGTCTGGATTCATCAACAAACTTGGTCATCACATCTCAAAGAGTAACAGAGGGAGAGGTTAATAGGATTCGCCTCGGATTTCAGTCCAAGGTTCATTCAAATTCATCTTCCTGTTCATATTTTTCCTTTACATTTCTGTCTTCTACAGTTATACTACATAGGGTTTCTATGTTAATGTATGAGATTCTGTTGTCGTTAAATATTAAGACTGTGCAGTGTTATACCATAGAACTGCAGAGAACTCATGTTTGTGAGATTTGTAGATCAAGGTGTACATGTGGGGGAAGGGACTGCGGGTCAGCTAAAGTCTTAATTCACTCCTGGACTCACGGTTATTTACTGTGACCCAAAGCTTTTTCTATGAAATTAACCTGTCATAACACAAATACCTCTCTTGAAAGATATTTACTCATTAGTTGAAGCACTTAATTTGGAAGTCTTACGGTCTGAGGGCAAAATGAAGCATAAAGTAAAAGTGGCCCTAAATACTTCACAGGTTGGTTTTTCGGAACATCCCACTTAATGCCACATCTCTCAGTGCTCAAAGACATTTCAGTCTAACACTCATGCGTTTAAGTCTAAACAGCATGCCACCAAATTGGCACAATTCACAGCTTTGCCAGACGACAGCATCATAAAGCTAATTTTCAGTCTTTACAACATTGCTTGTACAGTCTTACTGGTTTACATTACAATCCTTTAAGCCAAAAGGAAGCTCGCTGTATAGAATTAAATGCAAACTTCATTTATCAGTGCAGGAAGTCTCATAAAATTCAGATGTACTCCCACAAAAATTTTATTGGCCTTTTTGTAAAAGATAAAAAGGAATTGACAGTTCTCTTTCAAGGGGGAACTTTTCTCTATTTTTATTCTCAGTACAGAGGTTATCCTTTTGACATGGTTCTCATATTTCACTTGGCTTTAAGAGGGAATGTTAAATCATACCACTAAAACAAGATTCTCTTTGGATTAAAGTCCTGGATTTACTGCAGTTATTTTGCTTGATAAAAATTCTCAACACCAGGATTGATAAACAAAGGTAGATAGTAACATGTTGTAATAGGTATTAGATAATGTTTCTCTACTTGCCAACTTCTGGCAAATTTACCAGTGAATTCCACAGTATTATAAAATCTCTTGAAATGTATTTGTTTTTTCCTTTTAGCCATTTTCTCTTCAATTTCTTGGTCTCTCTGCCCTCTGTGACTGTGTTGAATGACCTAGCTGTCAGATGTGCTGAAGATGATGTTCCCTGAGGTCTCTGTTTCAGCTCAGTAAAGGTTGCAGGAAGCAGGAAGTTGCTGAGCAGCGTGCCTGTCTGGCCCACTGTGTGGCCCATTTTCATTCTGTTTCCTCATGAAACATTGCAACGTTTGAATCCGTAGTAGCTCCCCATTGACTGGACTCGAGGTGACAGCCACAGCAAATGGGAGAGCAAAATGTTGGCCTGCAGATGGTGAAAAATTTTTCTTAGCCTTTTGGTGTTTGTTGCCATAGCGTCGTATTTGAAAATTGATGCTTTAGCCAACAGCTGAATGGCCACCGTTTCTGTAGTCTCCACAATGTGTCCGCATAGACTTTTTCCTGAACTACAAGCAAAAACGTATTTTGTCAAATGTTACAAAAGTGAAAACGTTACTAATCTTAGATGTGTTGCATATTTTGTGTTTCTCCTTTCCAAACTCTTTCAAAAGCTGCAGTTACAAAGCTGTTTGGCTGTATCGACAGCATGTGGTGTGTTTTGCAAAAGCAGTTCTAGGAGAGCCAGGGTTTCTGTGGACTCCTCGCATCCCCATTCCAGGGTCATCTACAGAATTAAATCGGCAACTTAGAATGCTGTCATTTTTCAAAAGATAAAAGGGGATGGAAACTAGACCTGGCTGTTAGTCACTAGTGTGTAGTACTGTGATCTGAAGTAGGAAATTTAACTCACATAGAATAATTGTGGTTTTTGAAGCAGCTACTCATTGCTTTTTCCTTTTGCTATTAAGATCATGGATTTGGAATGTCCTCATGAGGTGGGCCTAAGACAGTAACATTTGAACTTCATGTCTTGGAACCTAACCCCAACTGAACCCAAAGATTAAAAAGGGAGTAAGCTTCATGTTTAGGCCTAAGCTTAAAAATTTCCTTCCCTACCCCTACTATTTTATTTAGTGGGGATTATGTCTTTTGTTTCTGGAAATTTATAGTTTTGATCACAGAATATGTCATTGAAATTGGTAACATAGTTCTTTGCATGAGTGGAAATATGTATCAAAATTATTTTACAAAAGACCTGATTACAATGAAAATGCCCTTTTCCCTCTCACATTTTGCTAATGGTACAAAAGCGTTTCATTTAAATCAAGCATTATTTACATCCAAATTCCCATTGTAAACAATTTATTCGGTTCCCCAAAATCTTACTATCTATGGCAGGAAGAGATTTAATTATGGTTCTGGTGAGTCACCAAAGGACAGATGACATTTGAGAGATAAGTAGAACACCATGCCTTATGACTCACCTTGATAACACAGACATTCCAAAAAGAACTGGATCTAATAGAGCCAGGGATTTAGCTAAATGGTGCAGCCGCCTGCCTTGCAAGTGCAAGGTCCTGAGTTTGATTCCTGGTACCCCCCCCAAAAAAAAAGAAAAGGAAAGGAATTGGATCTAGTAGTTCTATTATGGTGCATTTCACCAGTTCTGACAGCACTGAGAGGGAGACCACAGGATGATCTCTGAAAACCACCCTTCAGGAGCATCCTGGAGGCTCATCCTAAGGCACCAGGCTCCCACTCCACACTTCTCTGCAATTCACTCAAACTGCCGGAATTTCTGGTCGGGATCACAACTCCTTCCTTCTACAAAATGGAATCAAGACAGAGTTTCTGTCCTTCACAATTGTATCTGATGCACTCCAGTCTTGACCTAGAAATCTGGCAAACATAAGCCAGTAGGCGAAAGTTGGCTTATTTTCCTAACCCAAATTCACACATACAAAAAATTAGTTCTTGTGTACCTCCAATTCTGTATGAAAGAATTTAAAACAGATTTCATTTTGTTCTGTTTATTTTGGGAAGGTACCTGGGGGTGTTCTTGCTAGTGATTCATATCCCAACCCATACCACTCTCAACTTTTACTTGATGTGTTCAAAGCCAAAACAAGTAAGTACAATTTGAAAAGCAGGGCTGAACACTAAATTTGACATGAAGCTGAAGGAGTGAGCAAGCCAGAGAAGAGTTTGAATAAAGCATGGCCTTGGCTTCATACCACACTTTTTGTGCCTTGTATTATCAATGTATATTCTGAATGTTGTACAGTAAACGCGGATGGACTTCTTAGAGAAGGCTGCCCTGGCTTCTTTTCAGCACATGTACAGATCTATAAATATATATACATATATATTTGGTAATGCCAAACAGCTGTTATATTGTACTGAACAAAATGGACGGTTTGGATGTTTTATGTAGAGTTTGCAAAAAAAAAAAAAAAAAAACTGGATGGTTACAGACTTTTCAAGATAAATGTACAGAAGTAAATAAGCGCATATCAGTTATTTATGAATAAAGAGTCTTTTATTGACATTTTAGGATACTCCATGAGTGGAACTTTGAAATCTCAACGAGGACCTCGCCCCCTTTTGTGTACCAACTGCCACATACTAGCAGAGGTTGGGATGTTATCTACAGCGTAATTTCCAATTCCCTGCTGACCCACTGAGCCTAATTTCTCACTCTGGGATGAAGGATGAGACAATCTGAGCTTACTGAAACCAAAGAGATTATTTTCTAACACACACACAGACCCTTTCCCTTCCCATACTATATCATATACTCTGAGGTAAACAGCCCCACCTCCAACGTAACTTGGAAACCTTTCATCTTATTCATCTGAGTTCTTTTTGTTGACCGTGTAGAACATTTTCCACCACTCCATGGGAAAATATGAGGAAAATAATTACAATGCCATACATTTTAAGTACATCCTGACTGACTGAATCTGTTTTAAGTGTGCTTTAAAAATGCTGAGAGCTTCTAAGAATATAATTATAAGAACTCAAAGAATAGTCCAGACCCAGCTGAAACAATGTGATCTGTCATAAAAATGACATCTAATCCATTTAAACCGGTTGGTAATAATTTTTAGAAAGCAGAGTATTTTTCCAAAGTGTTTTTTTTAAGCACAATGCTATTCTCAAACAAAAAAGAGGTTTAGTTTTGTGTTACAAAATAAGCTTGGGAAGCCATGAGATAAATTGAAACATCATTCTCTTGGATTCTAAAATCTTTATGTGGCACAGATAAAATGAATATAGTGGATTTCTGAAAAGGGAGTCTTTCCTGAACCTTTTTGACCATGTTATTCCCATCCTTAGATCATCTTATGGAGTTATTTGGGACAGGTATGAATAGCCACAAAGTGGTTATAAGTGACTCTAAACTAGGCATAGCTTTAAAGCTGCCTAAAATATATTTTAGCTGATAGAAGATTTTCAGTTACCTACTGTGAATTAGGTAAATCAGTTATAGTAAATAAAAACCAAGTCTCAAGTTTCAGTATGATTCAAATAATTAGAACAAATAGATTCAACTTGCATTGGTCAAAATAAATTTCTCTCAAGTAATAACTAGCACAAAGATCCAGATATGTTTCATTCATTCTGATGAAAATTTAACAGATTAGGTTTAACCCGTAATAGGCTAGACAAAGTAATGTTTCTAAAATAGTTGATTAAAGATGCGCTACCTAACTAGGAAGTAATTCTGAATGCATTGACTTACTTTAGGCTCATTTATGCTTGTTCTATATAGTAAACATGTTAGAAATATTAGAATTTGTATTATGACAGGAATTAAATCATTCACTCAAAAAGAATTCACAATTCATTGTGAGAGTTGGGTTCTAATCCCGGCTCTGTCCTTTAGCATTGAAATTAGGCAAGATACTTACATATATGTCTCGTGTATAATACAGGGATGATAACAGAATTTTACATTCTTCCCCAAATCTGAAGAACAAATGAAAACATGTAATGCCTTTAGCATACTCTATGAAACTTGGGAAGCAATTGCTGGGTTTCCCCTCTTACTTTAGGGAAGCAGTAAGTGCAGGAATTAGCAGAAAGTGTGAGGGCAGACAAGTTTTAGTAATCCTGAGTCTGCCATTCTCTAGGTACATGACCTTGGCCAACAAATTCTTTATATTTAAAGGAAGACGATTATGGCAAGTTTGATGAGCATTAAGTAAATGGCCAAGAACAATTCTAAAGAGCAACCATATATCCAGTTGTCTCTGGCTAGTTCTAGTTCTGTACAGATTCATCTCAGAACAGTGATGGGAGCCTTTCAGGATGTTTGGTGAAAACAAACACCTGCCACAGGCTCACCACTACTGTCTAGAACATTCATTACAGTCAGGTGATAAGAGCAGTGATATGCCCCAATGTTAGCACTTTCCTATGCCTAAAAGTCATCTAAAACCTGCACTGCTAACCTTGAAATAGGTGAAATGAAATTTATTTTCAACTGTGCAGGTTAATGGTTAATACTATGAGTTTTAAAAAATACTATTTATTTTAGGAGAAAAATTGAGACAATGGGCGAGACAAAGATGTATTTAAAATATATCTATCACTAAGAAAAACAACATACTTAAAATAATAGTATTCTTGCATACGATAGGTGCTCAATCAATGAGCTGACCATTTTCTAATTTTCAGAGAACATGAGGGCCTTAAAATTCAACATGAGAGTTAGCTGAGCCTTATTTATCACCTGCTATGTGGTGGACTTCTATGCTACAAGTAGGGCATTTATGCGTGATGCCTTGATAATTACTGAGTAATGACATGGACCCAGCCTTGGAGAGGCTCACTGTCTGTGAGTCAAGAGACTGTATGCCATTGGAAAAGAAGTAGAACAAAGGACCCCAATGTAGATAATTAAGGTAATCAAAAGAGAAACACCAGCATGATTATGTCGTGGGAGGGACAGTTACATGGAGAAATTCCCGTGGAACTTCAGTTACAAATGATCTATGAATAGAGCCATTCCTATAATAAATAGAAAGATGTGACCAACTCTACTTTATGGCCTAATATAATCACCATGTATTATTCTTATAAACATATGGGTATCCCAGTGTAGGCCTAACTGTGGTTCTACGGCTGGGCTCATTCGCAACTTTGCAGGTAGCTCAAGGACTGGGGGGCTGCACCCTCCAGATCAGGTGCCTCACACATCCGGGTCCTGGGTTAGGACAAGTGAAGGATGCTATCTTCTGCGTGCCTCACAGTCCGATCTGTTAGGCTGGGCATGGCATAGGCTGAGGGAGGGAAATGTGCAATCTTTTGAAGCAGTAACATTGTTATTTTTGCCAGTCAGATAGTTACATGACTCAAAAGATCAGTCCACTTAAGGAGTACAAAAACAGAACTCATCACTGCATGGGACTTGCCACAAAATCACATTACAGAGCATGTGACTATTCGAAGGAAGAAGAGAATTTGGGTCATGGCTTTGATTTCTCAGATAATACAAAGAATCTGTTCCCCTAAAATAAAGAACATTCACATGGAACAATTAGCACTGATAAATGCATTAAGAAGCATTTTGTTCAGAAGCAGCTGCCACACTGCTTTTTATGACTCTAGACCATTTGGCCTCCTTAGTCTTCTACTATAGTAGATCCCAGGCTTCTCTGCTATGATCCTAGGAGCTGACCCCATGGTTAAACATGTTAGGAAAAAATTGATTTAATATCATTTATGGAGGTTTCTTAATTTTGAGATCTCTCAAAGGACTTAAGATGCTATGATAATTATTAGTTGAATGCATTCCGGAAGCTAGGCACATTACACGGTTTTCCTCCTTTGCTCCCCTAGCAATCAGGAAGTCAACACTATTTTGACTCATATTTTGTAAGTAAGGAAACTTAGAAAAGAGAAGTTATGGTATACATTTTGATCACCCAGCATTTTTAAAAAATATTCATTAGCTATTATTTAATGAACAGGTAGTAACATCTCAGAGTTCACATTTGGGGATTTTTCTAAAGACACACAAGAGATAAATTTTCTTTACCACCCTAAACTAAATCTGTCTGCATTGTCATCAATCGGTTCATTCATCGGGTCCCCCCATTTTCTTGCACTTTGCAAAATTCCATATCTCTAAACACACACGCCCATGACAACCTTTTTAACATTTTAATTCTTGCCTGTGAAAACTTGATTTAACCATGTTTCTCAGAGATGCATCCTCAAAATTGATAGGAATGAGTCCTATTTTGATAAATATTATAAAGACTATCTTTTTCAAAAGTTGAAGGCATCGTCGCACAATCAAACTGACTTGTGTCCAGTAATTGTCTCTAAGATCAGAGAAAAATTCACGGTACCCTTTATTCAAAGAAATCTTGGCTTTCCAGCCATCAAGATGCTGGGCAGTCACACGGAGCGACCCTGAGTCAGAGTATAAAGGCGTATGTTCCAATCTTCACTCTCATCATACCAGTGGTTACAAACAAGTCATTTTATTTTTTGAATCTCAGTTTCCACATCTGTAAAATCAACATCATTAAAATCTTGACCCACTTTTCATGTTTGGCTAAGGCAGCCATGGAGTCAAATATCATTGGTTAAAAACAAATGCCTTGAATTCTGGCAAGTTAAAAAAGACGAAAGTTAACACTTCAAAGTCCTTATGGGCCTAAATTGTCATTTCCTTTTACCATAGTTTAGAAGCTAGGTAAACAAGGAAACTCAGTTCACCACTAATTGTGCCTTTGACGGTCTCTCTCACAAAAGTGTGGTTATTTCAAAAATACATATTAAGTGTGTACTGCAGAGGATGAACAACAGGAGGACACAGCAGGGGAGTGCAGTGAATAAAGTCCACCCCATTTTCACAGAGTCTATTCTTAGGAATGGTGACAGAGCATTATAAGGGCAAAGTCAGTGAAATAGAGGAGGTCTGATACAAGATTTTGGGGGTGTGACGTGGTCTTTTAACATAAGGGTGTCTGTCCTCATTGAGAAGTTGATTTTTAGCTAACTACCTGGAAGAGATGAGAGGGGAAATCAAGAAGATCCCTAGTAGAAGAGGAATGAAGGGAGAGAAAACAGCATCTCCAAGAACTTTTCAAGGAACAACCAAGGATCCGTTTGAACGGAGCCATGTAAGTGAGGAATAGGAGGAACTGTGCTTGGAGAGGGTAAAGGGGTAATCACAGGTGATCTCACAGGACTTTGGCTGACGCTGTGTAAATCAGGAAGACACTGGCGGAACGTGCATGAGTTTATCATCAGGATCACATGAGGGGCTAGAAAATATGTAGTGGAGGAACGGTAAAAGCGGACCTTTACCATAGTAACTCATGGAGGAGATAACTGTGGGCCAGGTCAGGTGATTGCACAAATGGTCATAAGTTCTTGAGACGTGGATAGACTCTAAGGGTAGAACTGGCCAAACTTGCTAATGCAATGGATGTATGTCCTGAAAGAAAGAGAAAGCATCAGTGATGATCCCCAGATTTTGGTC